TTAAAGTCTGATTTTAATCTAATGCTTAGGAGCTAAGCTGTTGCTTTTCAGACAGATTTCCAAGTCCTTCATAAATTTATGAACAATTAACTCTGTTTCTTGTAACAGGGCACATCAGTCCTTTCTCTGTCAGAACTGTCCAAGACTCCCCTCCAAAATGGTATTTCCACCCCTCCACTTCCTTCATCAGAGGCTTCCAGTACCCGGCTCTCTCCTCCCAATGTTTCTGCTCTCTTGGATATTTCTCTGCCTGGACCACCTGAAGATGTACTTTCTCAAGGAGAACCTGCCACTCAAATCAGTGATTCTATCATTGAAATAGCTATCAGCTCTGGTCAATACAGTAAGTCTGAGCTTAGATAAAGTCTTCCTATTAACTTAAAAAAAAATCCCTGTCATCTTACATGTCAGCAGAAACTTTTCCAGGAAGCAGTACTTAGTTTTTTTTTTTTTTTTTAAATAACTGTTGGAAATAAAATTATGTGCCTAGCATTTATTTTCTGGCATATATAGGTGGGTTTTTTGCTGTTAGGTTCCCCCCCCCGACTTAGAAAGGGTATAAATTGGTGCAGTGTCCTGTAACTTTACCGCATTGACTGAATCAGTGATTCCTGACATTGGCTTACAGGTGAAGGTGTTTCTCTCTCTCCTGCAAAGCTGAATGGCAGTGACAGCTCCAAAAGTCTTCCGTCCCCATCCAGTAGTCCTCAACAGAACTGGATTGCTTCTCCCAGCCATGATCCCCAGTGGTACCCCAATGACTCCACAGACTCGTCTCTCAGCAGCTTGTTTTGTAAGTGTCAGTAGGCAGAGAACTGCAAGAAAAAAGCTCTTCCCTTTAACAAAAAAAAAAACAAAAACAAACAAACAAAAAAAAGCAGTACTGTTTATTAGAAGTGAATCCTTTGGAAAATCGTAAACCCAGTAGGACGTTTGTAGAATTCCTCCCTTACTTCTTGCTTTCATTTCAACAGTGTTGCCTTGAATATGTTTTCTTTCCCTTTACAAGTCTGTTCCTGAAAAGATCCTGTTGCTAGATTGGGGCCCATACCTTGGGACAAATAATTCCTTGGCAGTTTTTTGTAGTCTGTTTGGAGCCTGACTCATCAGTTAGGTTGAGACATTTTGGCTGTTCTGCCAAAATGAAAAGATGCCTTTGGCTCTGCTGTTGGAAAAATAGGCTTCGTTCTGTGCTTGGTGAGCATAATCTCAAAGACACGAGATCACCGGGTTTGTCTGGGGTTTGGTTGGTGCTTTTTTTAATTAATATTTAATGGGGCCAGTGTAATGAGTCTCCGTACTGTTAGCAGTGTGCTGATGGTGTTCATGCTGGTAACACATAATTTTAAGAGACAGAAGAAATAGATATCTGTCCTCCATTTTCGATTTCCTTGTCCTTCTCTTTATCCTCCCAATTGCAAACATTCAGTGCAGTGACTTACTGATGTGCCTGTTCTTTATAGCAAGTTTCATCTCCCCTGAGAAGGGACGAAAAATGTTGCCAACTCCTGTTGGGACTGCCAGTGGCACCTCCTTACTGGGACCCAGCCTTCTGGATGGAAACTCACGGGACTCTTTTGTGTCGCGGTCTCTGGCAGATGTAGCAGAGGTATGTCATCAAATTACATTCAGCTGTCTGCTTCCTTTTTTAGTGTATTGTTACTGTATTTTGTCCATCATACCTTCCTGAGTTACTTAAGGCAAAGGTGCTTTGACATCTGCACTTTAGCTTAGTAAAACAGGGTTACAGTCTTAACAGAAAGATGTGAAATGACTTGAGGGTATGCTACACTAGAGCTGGTGCAAGAAGCTGTTGTGAACTCCTTCACCCCAGGTTCTTTTTGCTGGGGGAGGTCATGTTTACCTTGTTGGACATATCTTTGTTTTGACAGAGAGAGTTGTAATCCTTCTGTTTTGTGTGTCCTGCTTTGTAGAGCAGGAATTGAAAATACTAAAGATGAGAGAAAGGTTAATACTGGTGCAACTACAGTACAGTTGGAGGACTGGTAGGAAAAATAAATAGGTCCAGAAGGAAGAAGCAGGAAATGGCTAATACTAAGTCACCTGAGAGAATGGCAGAAGGTCTATGCTGCTGAGTTATTTTCTCTGTTGGTAGAATTATCCTTCTGTTTTAAAATCTTTTGAAGGGGTAGAGTGAAGACCAGCAGTTATTAAGGCTTTGATATGCTTGAGGATAGAGTTCCCTTTCAGAGGGACACAGACAGACTGGAGGAATGAGCTGCCTCAATGAACATTGTGGAATTCAGCAAGGACAAAGGCAAAGTCCTGCCCTCAGGAAGGAATAACCCTGACAGCAATGTAGGCTGGAGGCTGACTGTTCAGGACACAGCTCTGCTGAGAAGTACCTGGGCATCTTGATAGCAAGCTGAACATGAGCCGGGATGTTGTGTGGCAGCTAAGGTGACCAACAGTGTTGTGGGCTGTTTCAACAGGAGCATAGCCAGTAGATTGAACAAAGTGATGATTATCCCACTCAACAGCTGTGAGACCATGTCTAGAATACTGTGACCAGTTTTGGGCACCCGATATAGGAAAGACATAGATAAACTGGAGCAAGTTCAGCAAAGGGCCAGCAAGATGATCAGGGGGCTGAAGCACCTGCCTGTGAGGAAAGGCTGATGGTACTGGGCTTGTTCAACCTGGAGAAGGCTTGAGGGTGGGAGGGACCTAACTGCCTGCCAGTACTTGCAGGGAGGTCATCAAGAAGATGTAGCCAGGCCCTTCACAGAGTGGTGATGCATGGTCGGAGGAACAGGCAAAAGCTGAATTGAGAAGGGTTCTGACTACATATGAAGAAAAACTTTTTCATCCTGAGGACAGTCAGGTAGGGGAACAGGTTGCCTAGAGATGTTGTGCAGTGTCTGTCTTAAGAGCTTTTTATGGTTAACATGGATAAAGCCCTGAATAAGCTCATCTGTCCTCCTAGGTGACCCTGCTTTGAGCAGGAGGTTGAACTACAGACCTCTTCAGGTCCTTTCCAATCTTAATTATCCTATAGTTTACCGTCCTTGACTCAGTGTAACGTCATGTACGTTGTAACTTTGTGGGGGCTTGCCCTGATGGAAGGAAAATGTCATTCCTCCATTGCCCTTTGGATTTGGATAAGGAGGTTCTGTACAGACCTTGTAACCAGAAGCTGCAGCAAGCTCATGCTGTTTTAATGTGCCCTTGGCAGCTTCAGACTCCACACACAGCTCCACTTCCTGGCATAAATATGAAGATTCTGCTTACTTGGTGGTAAGAATCTGTCAAGGTGTGTGTTAATTAAAGGAATATATGATAATTTGTGTGGATTTGAAGTGACATTGCAGCCCTTGATCTTGGAAACTGCCTTCAGAAGGAAATGGGGTAAGCCGCTGTTGTGGCAGATATGGGTTTGTGTGGGAGTCTCCAGAGGAAGCAAGTATAATTTTAAAATGGCTTTAATGATGGGAGAATTTTGAAAGGCCTTTTATTAAGTGTCCTGCAGAATCAAATTTTATTTACAAATGCAGTTGTTATGTTAGAGGTAATATCTATAGAGTTTTTGTACATCTACTAGTGCACCTTAATGCTGAATTAAGGATAGGCAGGCAAGGCCCATTGAGACTATAGGTTTGGGTTTTTTTAGCGGCTTCCATTTAGAGAATAGCTCTTGTCCATGGCTAACTCAGGTAAGTGAGATAAAGTGTATCTTTCATAGGAGGAGAGGGCTGAGAATGAAGATGAGGGAGCCAAACTCTTCTCAGGACAAGAGGCAGGGGGATAAATGAAACACATAAAATTCCACCTGAACAAAAGAAAACCTTTTTAATGTGAGGGTGGTCAAACACTGAAACAGGTTGCCCAGAGAGGTTGTGGAGTCTCTCCTGATGGAGATAATTCAACACCTGGCCGGACAAGGTCCAGGGCAACCTGTTCTAGCTGATCCTACTTGAACAGGATGGTTGGACAAAATGATCTCAAGATGTCCCTTCCAACCTAAACAATTCTGTAATTCTGTGAAATTTCCACTGACATGTAGCTCTTCTTTTCTCTCATGTCTCTTCTAGGTGGTGGATTCCCAGCTGGCTTGCATGATGAATGAAAACAGCATAGATTACATATCTCGTTTTAATGACCTTGCCCAGGAACTGTCAATACCTGAGCCAACCCGCAGGGAAATTCTGTTTGATGGAGGAGGTGGTGGTCCCCCCATTGGGGATCTCTCACAGTGAGTGTATGAGACCAGCAGGCTGGTGTAGACTGTTCAGCTAAAGTTGGAGCTTGCAGTGCTGGATCATGGCAAGGGCAGGTTGTAGAGAAGCAGCTGAGGCTCAGTTGTCCCTGTATTGTGTGCTTGTTTCTAGAAGAGAAGCATTGTCTTCAAAGGTCTGAAGAAGTACTTGCAAGTCCTGGAATGTGCAATATACGGGGAACAACAAAACATGGAATAGTATTATAAGAAATGCTGTGTCCCCTGCATCAGTGATATATGATAGCAGGTTTATGGAACAGTCCTGGACTTGTACTTTGGAATGGCCTAAGCAAGAAGCTCAAGCAGGGAAGGGTATTGCCAGAAGCTCCCCTACGTGAATTATTTTTTGCGTAGTAATCAAAATGCCATGATTTGGGATCCACATTGAAGTTGTGGAGGATGAAGGGTGGGGGTGGGTGTAGGAACCATTTTGCATCTTGACATGTCCTAGTTGGCACTCTTTTTATCCGTCAGTCAAACTGTAGTTTCTTGCACTCTCTTCAAAGGCGTGGCGACTCTACAATGCTTCGTTCTTATAGACCATTCTGTTTCTTTGGCTATGTTTTGTTGTTCGACCATTCCAGCAGGGGTATGTACCTGCTTTCTTGTTTTGTAGGGGAGCTCTGATTCACCCTACTCCGAGATTGCATGGATCCTTTGGGAGTTTCCTCTATTTTTAAACCCCATCACATGTCACAATCATCATCATCCTGACTGCACTCATATTCTCCACATTTGAGATTCTTCATCACATTGCACAGTTCATCCCATGAGTGGGAGAGTGCTTTTTTGCTTTCCCTGAAGAACGGTTGCTTTTTAAGTCAGGAAACACTGCAAAAGAGCTTACTGGAATCACTATGAAAGCTTTGTCATAATTAGTCTTGGCTTTGCTGGAAACTTGTATATATTGCCATCTTTCTTCACAAAAACTAAGGATTTACCTGGGAGAGGAAATAGGAAAGAATATTGTAATGTATAGAAACAAATATGTTAACGCTAAAGTTGTTGAGATCTGTTTTGTGTCATGAAGAGGAGAGGTGTCAAATCCTAGCTTAATCCCTTAGTCCTTCCTTATTTCCTCCATGTTCTGTGAATTCCAGGTGCTCTGTAGTACCTCAGGGCATAATTTTTCATTATAGTCACTCCCAGGCACTAGTGGATCTGGTACTCCCTCTACTAAATCCCTATGCATTTAATGTTAGTGTTTTTAATATTTGCAAGACCCAAGTCCTGATACCAGCGGCTTCAAAGGAATATAAAGTTACTTTCTCTACAGCTGGTTGTCCGTCAATTCTACTTTATAACTCAGGAGACTTTTCCTATTTCCTTTCCTACTGGTCATGAGAGAGAATATCTTTATTGTGCCCCCTTTTTAAGCACTTGTCTGCTTCTCCAGTAAGAGGATGTCCCCTTGGCTATTTTAAGTAGCTCTGAACTTATCCAAGGGGCTAGTCCTATATAAACCTCAACCTTCTATTATTAATAAATAAACAAAACTTCTCCATCTCTTAGGCTATTATCAGGGGTTCATTTTCCCAACTTGCACTATACTTGGTGGATGTAGTTCTACCTGCCTTTAGCTACTTTTACAAGGCATTTGACTGGGAGTTTGTTCTTGTAACCTTGCTCACGATGCACTGATTGGATTTGCTGTTTTCCCAGTCACTTTACCCTGCTTTATGTAGATTATTTTTTTAACCGCTGTATAGTTTGCCTTATGCTTTCTGTCATTAAGAGAAAATGTAACAAGTTTTCTGATGCACCATTTGTGTGGCCCAGAGCAACCTTCCTGATTTCATTCAAAAAGTAGTGAGATTTGGATGACATTCCAAGACCCCACATATCAGGTTGCTACATTCTCCTCTTTGACGTAGGAACCATACAGATGTGTAAAAACAGCATTAGTTCAATTGGATGTTCCCGACAGGGAGGCAAACCTATATTACTAGCAAGAAAACAATCATGACTAGAAGAATGGAGAATTTCATACCTGTGGGCTAACGTCCTATTCTAACTGCTTGTCATGTGGGATATTAAGTCCTTCTGTCATTATTTCTCTTCCATTGTTCTTACAGAGCCTTGTTTGAGAATTCTGATGCAATTATCATGTAAACCTAGAATATAAGCAGTTGAAGGCTGTCAGAAGAATGAATGCTGAGGAGTGTATCATTCTGAGCATTCACCCTCGGTATGGAGAGGATACCCATTAATCTCAAGAGTCATTCCCTCTAAAACCTCTAAGTTTCACTTAGAGTTGAGCTGTATTTTGGTTCAGTCTTTCCCAGATTGTTGCCTCTTGGTTTTGGCTTCTTGTATCAGTAATGCTGATTATCCTAAATGCTGTACCTCCAAAAACCCTTTGGACTTGCAGGACAAAAGTAGAGGGCTCCTACTGTCGCTGTGGATTATATGTCATGCGGGAGGAGATGTGATACATTCTAATCAAGTACTGTATAAAAAAATAATCTGAACTCTCATTCTTAAACTTCTGAATATTGAAAGACCAGCCTGATGGTCTCCAGTGTATTTAGGTAGCTTGACAAACATTTCATCTTTACCCATGCTGGTAATGGAGTGTTTTGACTCTTAGGTTGCCTAGAATAAGTGCCAGTGTGGCTGCATCTACATGGCAGAGCACTTCAAGATCTGTGAAGGCTTTCTGCGGTCTGATACAGGGAGCTGTCAAGCTGCCCTTTCTCAGTCCATTCAGTTGCCATAGGGGAATAACAGAATTGCAGAATGAAGTCAGCATAGTGGCTATTTTTAATGACGCCATGAGATCAGAAAACGTTAATATCCTGAACCTTTTGCAAGTAGACTTGGACCACCAAGTAATAACAAATTGGAAATGACAGAGGTCAGTTCAGCACTCAGAATTTTGTGGTTAGAAATGTGTTTGGCATCAGCCTCTTAAAAGTTGTCGTTATAAAACAGAATTTAGTTTCAGAAAAGTAATGCTTTGCAAACTGCAGTTTAATAATAAAGCCCTTTCAGGACCAGTAAGTCTTATCAGGGAAAAACTTGAAAATAACTTAGATCATTGTGGTAATTTTGAATTGATGCAGAATTTGTCATCCTTATTATGTGAAAGGTCACTTAAACACACCTCTGATTCCACCAGTTCTAGATTTTAGGTGGATGTGCTTTACAATACTAATCATCATCAGTTTGTGCCTAAGACTGCTAAGCGAAAAATGGGCGGGGGGGAGGGAAATACACACACACACATATGTATATACACTAACACACACATACATATATGTATGCTTATGTGTGTGTATGTATATATTTATTTTTTTGTAAAACACAAAACTCTTACAATTTTAATTATTTCGGCTTCCCCAACAGAAGTAACAAAATCCGTATGTGTAACAATGTCAGCCTATCCTAAGCAAACATTCAAGCAAGTTATACTGAAATGCACGCAGGATTGTTTTTGAGGTAAATGTGACTTTGTTAGCTTAATAGCTTCTTGGGGCACTGTAAGGTGGTTGGAGAGGACAAATGGACACTAACAACCTTCAGTTCTAGTATTAATTGCTTTAGGCTTTCCCTGTGTTGGGTTTAGTGACTATATATAATACGGAAGTTCTGAGTAGTTCAGCAAGGTGAATGGCAGAAAATTCAGTATTTGTTGTCATCATAGTCGGGTGAAAAGCAGTACTACATCCTAAGAATTACATCTGCCCGTGTGTGCATGTGTGCACTAACTGGGTTTTCTGCTGGGTGTTGCATCCTGATTACCCACACAATTCATTTTATCATTTATCACTAAATCTACTAAGCATAGGAATACTAATTGTTTTTAATATGGCATTGTTAAGCCTTTTCTTGACACCCCTCTCTATATTTCTAAATTTAATTAAATGGCTTGGATCGAATCTAATCTATAAAGACATCTCATTTACTGACTCCACAGATCCCAGAGTGGAAATTAAGTTGCATTTTGTTTTTTACACTCGGACTTCGGATGCATTTATAAGGAAAGTACTGCACTTTTTTTTAACCTTTTCAAACCTTTGAATCTCTTAATTTCACAGCAATTTGTAAATGTTAACTAAGTGAAACCTTGGCAAGCACTACGGCAATAAGTTATCATTAATTATTGAAACATGATAACTGCTTTAGAGCTTATGGTTCTGGCAGCAAAATTTAATGCTGTTTCTTTTAATAATAGTTAAGCCATATCATCTAAGGTTTCTGGCTTGTTTGAGATGTGAATTTGTTTTATAGATTATAAATATACCTATATAGTGTATGTATAAAGCAGAATGCCTGTCCTTACTGATTATTTTTTGTACCATATTGTAAATTATATTATTTATTCTTTACCAATTTTGGAAAAAGGTGTTTTGGTTATTTAATATAATATACAAAAGCTGTTAAACTTCCTCTGTTTAAATTTCCAATTCAACTTGTAAAGCTGTTTTTATTCTTGTGCATAAATACATACTAATACTTGGTCTAACTTATGTCCAGTGTGTTACTTGCCATTCATGCCCTATCAGATTTTTCCATTTAACCTTTATTTACATAATAATGGCCCCGGGGTGGGGGCACGCTAAAAATTTGTCTGTAAGGCCAAGCCTTCCAAGGTGAAGTTCTGGTTTCAATGAAATCAGTGGCATAAATTCCATTGACATCTCCCATCCCAGAATTTTTGTGATTTGCACCATGGTGAGAGAAGGTTTTGGTTGGTTTGGGTTTTTTTTGCTTTACAGCTTCCATTCCCAGTAGTATCCGCTAACTGAGTGTCAGAAATGGGTCAACGGTGACCAGTAACAAAGGAAAGAAAGAAAAAAAAAAAACCCACCCACAAAAAAAACCCCACTGTGTAAAAGGGTACGATAAAAAGGGTATTGTATATCTTGGTGTTTATTTTTTTTCCTTCACAGCTTCAGATAAGCAGGAACTTAGTTGTAGAGGTTGTATTCAGGCCATCATGTTTTATATAGTCGCTACCAGAAAAGCTTTTCCACCCTGGGGACTAGTCAGGCAAGGGAGCAGGTTGCCCAGAGAGGTTGTGCACTGTCTGTCTGCAGAGCTTTTGCGGACAAAACTGAATAAAGCCCAGAGGAGGCTGGTCTGATCTAGCTCACCCTGTTTTGAGCAGGAGGTTAGACTCTAGACCTGAGGTTCCTTTCAAGCTGAATTATCCTGTGATCTATGTCATTAACTTAACTAATTCCTTTTTGTACACATTTAGGATTTTGCTCTCTACAGTATACAATGGCAGCTTTAGTTTAATTATGCATTGAGAAAGTGCAAAAGTGTTGTTAAACTAGACGATAAGAAATTAAGAACCTTTTAAAAAGCTCAACAAAAATCTTATTAGTAATATTCTTTGATGCTTCCTTTCCATCCAAAGAGTGAGGACTCATCTCTACCACCTGTGTACTAAGAAAACTGGACTATATGACCAAGTTTGACCTCTTCATTGCAGCTTCTCACCTTCACCATGCTGTGAC